TTGCTGAAGAGAGTGTCCCAATCTTGCGAAACAAAGAACCTGTCCAGTAATGAATGAGTACTATTGTTGCCCATTTTCGACCAAGTGTACTTGCCATTAGAAAGTGGAATTTCCATCAATTCTAATTCTTCAATTTTTTGTGTCTATTGGAGAAGCATAAACACTGCATATATTGTTAAATTATATTACAAGTATTATTTGTTTGTACTTATTTCCTTATTGGCAATGTAAACCAAGAACAACTTTTCATTGATATATGAAAAGAAAAACGGTTCAAGATACAAACCCCAAAGGGTGAAAGAAGAAAAGAGATAACAGAAACCCTTAGGGAAAGCTCAACATGAGCAATACAAACAAAACAGAGATAAATAATAAAAACCAAGGGACAATGCTGAAGGAACTCTGCGAATGGCATGCACATGCGAATAAGCATGGAGAACCGAAAGAAGATCAAAAGAAGATTCCACAAACACATCTTAAGGCCTGACTGAAGGAAGCTCGAGGAATAAAATCCTTACAACAGATGCTCCAAAGAGAATCAAGCAGAGAACAACCACTCTTGGAAGAAACCAACAAAAAACCCAACTTTTAACCGTTGAAGAGACTAAAGAAACAAAATTTCAAAATATCAGTGGTATAGAAAGAACAACAGCTAGGCGCTCGAGAAGAAAGAAGCAGGACATTGAAGCAATACAGGGAGAGCTACATAAACGTTTCACCACGACACCTTCTAAGCTTCCTTGAAAAAACATCTGACGTGAAAACTTTCATGATATCTACACACACTGCATCACTTTTGACCCTTGCTCTCAAACAGAAGGAAAAACAACCAGACCTTTAACCAAGCCAAAGATCATAATAAGAACTTCTGCCAAGGAATGATCCAACAGGACTTCAAAACGATTCGCCAGCCAAGTGAACCTCCCATTTGATAATGGCACCTGCATAACTTCAAGTTCTTCAAGAATCAGATTAAAATCCTCAATGCTTTAGTCATACTTCTGAAGATCAGCCCGAATGCCATCTGATTACTTTAAAAACACCCCCAAGGCACCAAAGATTGTCTTTGAACCCTACTGAAAAAACACAAACTCAGGCCACAATATTTTACTGTCCCTGTAATCGGCTGCAACTTGGTCTCTTTCTAAAGAACTATATCCGGACCAAGCTTAGAAATAAACTTCTTAACCTTTGATCTCTGCTTGTAAAAAACTCCACCAACATCCGGACATTGAGACTTAACAAAGTTCTTAACCTTCAGTCAGATGTTTTTTTTTTAAAGCTAAGAAGTGGGACATCTTGCTAAAGCAGTCTACTACCACAAGTACCGAGTCAAATCCACTTGTTTTTCGTATTCCTAGGATGAATCCATAAACAAGTCTTCCCTTATTCATAGTGGGGTAGGTAGTGGTGTACATAGGCCTATATTTTGGGTTTTGGGTTCAACCCTTGCCCGTCTGGATATGACTTTGTGTTGGAGTCGGACTACGTATGTTTGTGTGTTAACATGTGCATATTATATCCTATTGGCTTTCCCATAAGATGTGAACACTAGATTCATAAGAGCTGACTGCTTCTCAAAATACAATGATCTACCATTGTTAAACAACATTATTGTTCAATAACTCCAAAAAAATCTTAAATTGGTACCATAAAAAGTGTAGAAAGCTTAAAAATAAATGTTTGAGAGAAATAAATGTAAAAAATAAATAAAGAAGAGAGCTCAAAATGTTGTAGATGGTGAATCAAAGATTGTCATTTTACAGTGATAGGAAAGGAAAAATTGTCACTTGTTGAGATTTATTTTACCATCCATTTGTTATTTAAAATTTAGATTCTTTATTATGTGCATGTTTTTGTATATGGGTACAAATGCACCTGACCCATGACACCCTCCAGAATTCACAGCCTTTTCTTTAAACAACCATAACACCTGAAAGTGTTATCCTGCTTAAAATCAATATTTTTGCAGCATCTTACATTCTCCCAACTCAAAACGATTGGAGCCATTTGCTGATCAAAGGGATACCGTTGTCCTTACCCCCAAGAACGTGCAGGTCTGTTTTGAGTTTCCACATTCCTTTGCTCTCATAGAATACTGTTGGATTTCCTTTATATTTTTGTAATATTAGCCGTTTGTATTTATATTTAGATGGTCTTTCTCCTATATAAGAAGATCCTGGATTTGGTTCGCAAATATACAGAAGAAATATGATAATTTTATTTCTTCCCAAAAAAATTCTACTTTTTTTCCTATTTATTTTCTGTTGTAATTAAACTGTGCCTCCCATACTGAATCTCAATGTGTAATATGACAGTTATATTTAAATTGATTTTCATTGTTTTGCAATTCAGGCCTTGAGGACTCTCTTCAATATTGCCCACCGATTGCACAATGTGTTGGGTCCATCTTGGGTGTTGGTACGTTAACTTATTGCTTACTTCCTGTAATTAGAGAAAGATTATGATAAAATGATCTAATTGTAGGTCTTGGATACTTTTGCCGCTTTAGACCGAGCGATTCATTCGCCACATGCCATGACACAGGTATTTGTTAATATATGGTTGAGGCTTGAGCGTCCTTTTCTTTTTACATTTTCTAAAATGAGTTGAGGCTTTCCTTCTGTATTAGTATGCCATCCAAGCATTTCAAAGCCTGTGGTGTGCGTCATGTTTATTGAGTATATATTGGAAAGTATTAAATGTACCTTAACCTATTATTATTGTTTTTTGAAATAAGAAACAACTTTTCAGTGATATATGAAAATAAAAATGTTAAGGATACAAAACTTCGAAGGAGCGAAAGAAAAATAAAAATAAAAGAAGTAAATGGAGCAATGCAAACTGATTTGAAAGTCAAAGATCAATATGAACCAATAATAACTATTGAAGAGGACGTGCAACAACAGAGATGAAAATTGAGCCACCAATCTTCCATAGAACACCTTGTAAAATAGTCTTCGCAAGGCAAGGATAGAAAAAAGAAACCATGGAAACTAAAACTTCAAGGGAATCCCGCATGGAAGCTGAAAAGCTCAACCATAACACTGAATATCCGAATTAAGTGAATCCACATGGTTGACGCCTTCTCACAAATCTTAACGAAAAGCTCACAGCCCAAATGAATATTCTAGAGAATATAGAGATCAAGAAATGGAGACATTTAAACTTCCAAGGAGATAGCTAACAGAAGGATCCCCCTTTACTCAAAAGGAGAAGCCAGGTCAGATAGAAGATGCTGGCAACCCTTCAATTTGTCCAATAAGGATGTGATTGCTCCCAAAATCACAAGACATATTCTCACATAATTTTCAACATCCTTTCGAGTTGCTAAAGGCCCAAGATGGACATATTCTCACATGTGACATATTCTCACAAAATCACAAGCTCCAAGACATTCTCACATAATTTTCAACATCCTTTCCAAGATGTGGCCAAAAAAATCTGCTAAGCACTTGTTCAATTGTCTTATCTTGGCCAAAATGGCCTCCTAGTCCACCGGAACGAGTATCCCTAATAATTTTCAGCCATAATGATGTGCGTGGATTACAAAGTGCATTGTCTTTAAACAAAAAATCATTAGTTATGCTAAAGTCTTTATAAGCATGTCCATCTTTGCATTTTTGCCAAATATCAGAAAAATCATCATGCTCATATAAATCAGCAAGGTTATCAAAGGAAATTATTTCACCTTTCAATGTGTTCAATAAGTGAGATCAATAACTTTTCGGTTTTCATTAATGGGAGATCGAGAGGGAGAATTAAGGCTTCAAGAGGGTTGAGGCAAGGAGATCCCCTTTCTCCTTTCCTATTCTTATTGATAAGCGATGTGCTTAGTAGTTTTTTGGACAGCATTTACCAAAAAGGAGTGTTCGAAGGTTTTGTTGTGGGGAGGGTTTCAATTCACATCTCCCACTTGCAATTTGCTGATGACACATTATTGTTTTGTAAAGATGATGATGAGATGCTTAAGATCCTATTTGAAGCCATTAAAGCTTTTGAGTGGTTGTCCGGCCTTAAAGTGAATTGGGAAAAATCATCTTTGAGTGGCATAAATATGGAAGACCAAAGGGTTGTGCAGGTTGCAAATTCTTTTTGTTGCAAAGCTGAACGTCTTCCTATTTTATATTTGGGCCTGCCTTTAGGAGGAAATCCCAAA